TTTGTTTGTTCTTAAAGTGTTATCCTCCAATCGAATGACAAAGATCTACTTGGATGTTATATAAAACAAATAATGAATGTTTCGCATTCGTGCAATGGTGAGAATATTTTCATTCGCTGAAAGATGGAATGTTCTTTCAACTCATTAAAATATTCTCCCCACTGCACTCATAAACATTCATTATTTGTATACTGTTTCACCCAAAGTCGACTAAATCAATAACGGAATGGGCAGTGCATGGCCAGTGCAAATGAATTAAACCCTAACACCCCCGGAAAAGGATCAGTGCTCGAAATCGATATCAGATTTTTCCATATCCTATTTACCTTGATTTTTGTATAGGTGCAAAATAAATGACAATTTTTTCTTTTCTTTTTAATTTTAAGGTTCTTGCAAAAAATATATTCGGCAACATTTAATGCTGACAAATGTTAGTCCCGCTCTAGTCTGGTTCCCAGACCAAAAGATTCTGACTATTCCTGATGAATCTTAGGTCAGGCAACCTCCGTGGCTAAAAATAAACATGATGACATTGATGGCCCTTTTTCAAAGCTCGGCTTCGTTTCCGATTTCGCTTTATCACTTTTAGCTTTTAATGTTCGATCTGATCAAATTTGTAAGTAAATCACTTGCTTCGTAATATCATACAGTTATGATAATACAGTTTGATGTTTCTGTAAGATAACACTGACTAATGTTGATCTGGAATCTTCAAAATTAGGCACCCAAATAGCACTGTTAGCAGGCGGAGCCGAATGAAGACCGAGTTTTGGAAAATCTCAGTAACGGTCGTCAAATTCAAAATTCCCTACATGACGCAGCAAAAAGTTCGCCCATACGATCCGAGTATATTTGATGCACAAAATCGTCGTTGAATTTCAAGTTTTCTAAATGAAAGCAATGAAATTAATTATTAACTCATTTAAAAAAAAATTAATAAGCAATTAGCAGTTAATTAAACCTATATTATATTCGGAACTACTCGGGCGCTATCCGATTGTCGACGAAACGAATTCGGCAAACTTCGGAAATTTTCGGGAAAAGGAGGAATTCCTCCCGTTTTAGTCACGTGACGTAAATTGTAATACAATGTATTACCGGAGGCTACCGGACCTAAGATTCATCGAGAATAGTCAGAATCTTTTGGTCTGGGAACCAGACTAGTCCCGCTCTGCATTTCGTCAGAAATGAATTTATTCTCGATCCGCTAAGCGTCGACGTTTGACTGACTATTCACAAATGTACACGGTGTTGCAGCCAATGAACTTCAATCGTATCCCACAGTGCTCAAAGGTCAGTAGAAGTACAATGTATCTGCAGGAGTTGACAACGCTAAACGACAGGATTTGAACATGACCTTTGAAATTGTCGTTTTCGAATACTATCCGAACGGTCATCACACTTCGTCTTAACGACCTTATTCGAACCACAAATCCTTAATTTTTTTCCTAGTATTGATTTTGCTCGTTGATGCAAATTTAAGGTACACACTCATCTGGAGATCGCCAGTACTCTGTGTTTAAAATTGTTTATATTGAAAAAAAGTATGAAAATGAATTTTAGAAAATGGTTTTTTTTTATATCTGACGTGGCAGCTATTTTCTTATTTTTGCCTAGCCTATACGTGCTTCCAGCAGTAAATAAAGCCATCGAATTATGAGCCAAAGCTGTCAACGTCAAACTGACGCCGTGTTATGATTCATACCAAGCAATTGACAATTCACAGTAGGAAATCAGACCACGCAACAATGATTTCACGTATGCGTTTCAAGCATCGTTTCCGAAATAGAAAAGTGGTATGTGACTTGAATCTATAGCGAACGGATCATTTCTCCGGGATCAACATGTTGTATACGATGGAAATCATTCGTGCTATACGAGAATTACACGAGAACCGCACATTTTCAAGGTATACTTTAACATATTTTCCAACTTTTATCGTCTCGTGTTGAACGAGTTTTAGACCTCAAAACGCGCCTTTTCGAAAACGATACTGTAAGACGGGAGTTCCTTTAAAACCCCTCATCAGCGAAATATTGTAAATATTAAAGGGACGCAAGGCGTCTTCTCCTAAATGTGCGACTGTCTATATGCATGGCTCTTCAGGAGCTAAAAACCCTCTGAAGTTACCTCGTATTATTGAACGACATATGCTCTCTAATATTGGTTTCCTAATACGGCAGGAAATTAGTCAGATTTTGAATCCATTCGCAGCATTTGATGCACGGACTATATTGGTACTTATTTTTTATTACACATGTTGAGTAACCATATAAACTCCGCGCAAATTATCCATGACCACCTGCAGTTTCCCGTTGGAGTGATTTTCGGATTTTATTTGTAATTTGTACAATTGTTTTTGGTACCGAGTATCGTTTCCCGTTCTAGTCGGCAGGACTTTCACACCAAATCCTTTTTTGTTGAAATTGATCGCGGCAAGTTGACGAGGAAGGGATTTCAGATGCAAGGGCTGGCTCTTTTTTTCTGTATATAGTCGAAAGAGAGGCTGTTAGCAAGCGTCAGCCATTTGAATGGATTTCAATGCCTAAGCTGAAGCTTAAACAGGCTACATAGTAACAACGCCAAAAGGTCTGTTCTGTGATTGGAGCCTCGATCTTATTGACCATTCCGAATCAACTGTCCAAAATTTGGCTATAGCAAGATCTTTTGTAGTTTTTTGCCAGACGGACTAATTTCACGAATTGTCTTTGATACTTTCAACTATAATTCAAATAAACTACAATAGGAAAATAAAGATGCAATTTTAATATTCTTATTTAAAATAGCCAATTGAGTGGAGTGGGGTTTGAACCTCAACCTCCGGGCTACCGTTCCAGCCTTCGACCAACTGATAGGAAATGTCTACCCGTATCGGGTATATGAGCATAAACAGTTTATCCTTCTAAAAGCCCACCGTAAAGTATCGCATAAACTCTGAGATAAAGATCGCCTGGCTATCCAAACGTTCGGTTGTTTTTATTTTCCTTTTGAGAAGTCTGTTTTTATTCACAGAAGAAGTTGAGAATAATAAGCTCACCAGATGGATACGTTACAGACGATCTTATCCGTGTATTCTGCAATACGAGTGAGATACCATACAATATTCAATGTGCATCTGTAATATAATATTAGGATCATTTTGGCTTGAATCATCAATAACTTAAAATACGTGTGCAGTACAGCGTCTACTCTTGTCAATGTAATTCATTTAAAGACTTCGTTAACATGTACATGGTACACTCCATCGTTTGAAGCAACAAACGTGCTCAAAATAAAGGTTCAAAACGACTAATAGAAAACCTGTCCACAATTTTGTTTTGCCTAATAGGCCTACGTGGATTCCTTGTTGCTAGCGCTTTCGTTTAATACCGTTTTGTATTTTGAAATGCACCCTTTCTTGTGTAATCCCTAAATCAGCCCTCGATCGGCCAGTGAATCTCACTCAGCCGGTTATTGTAGGTGGCGTCGAAGGCCCCGTGGATGGTAGTATCATCAAACTTTCTTTAAAAAGTGTGCACCTGCATGGGAACACTTTTTAAAACAACCCTATTGTTTCTTCCAAAAAATACCATTTCAGGCGGAAAACTTTAACATTTTTTTTGTTTCATTGTTTCTCTTCACTTTGAGCACGGATTTTCTTATTAAATCAGTATAGGTCCGTTTCCGAGTAATTACCAATTCAATTTAATTCAATCAACATTTATTTCCATAATGGCACAACTTTTATAGACAATGTAACAAAGTGAAGTAACTAATAACATATTATGAAAAAAAACATGAAAAAAAGTAAGACTGCTGCAAACTGCTTACTGACTGGATGGACCTGAAATATATAAATCTAAAAATTAATGTGGCCTGACGTTGCGAACTTAGCAAGTTCTTCTGAAGAAGAACTTGCTAAGTTCGCAACGTCAGGCCACATTAATTTTTAGATTTAATAATATATTAAGATTATACCTGGAAATCTTATAGGCCTAGATAAGAAAGAAAGAACAATAAATCAATGGGCAATTATGGAGGCATCTTTCGAAGCCCGGAACCAAAATGACAACTCAACAAATACGGAGACAGACTCACAATTGGACAAACATAAATACAACACACAAGAGATAAATGTAAATATTAGGGATAGAACAAAGTAGATAATGCCTTGTAAATAAATAACTCATGCAACTAGTCAAAGAGCAATGTTCCTTATTGGGAGTACCTTAATTTCGTTACTCTGAGATATGTCATTGTTGGTTATGCCCGAGCCTCGTGGAAGTTGTCCCGAGGAAAAAATCCTTTCTGTAAAATTGAATGCACCAAGAAGGGGATCCTTGCCATGTTTTGAATCAATTAAGTTTTGAATCCATTAATGTAGTTCAGCAGGCACACCCGACACCCTCGACAATAGATCGCTTGCACTGCAGCCGACTATGAAGCGCGGGCTTTTGTTTAACAGCTAAATGATACACGTGAGCAGACCTCCGAATGCAATCGATTTATTGCCACAGTTTTCTTTACAACCAATCAAAATCTATTGAGAACCAATTAACCCATGATTCGCAAACAAACGCATGGTACTTCGCAAACAAGGACAGGGTACTTGCATGATATAGGCTCTAATTATCTCAGAAATAATTGTTGCGTGCTAATTAAGATCCTATAGTTGCAGTCGTTAAACCTTCATTCACTGTCACGACAAAAGCATTACAAAACAGAGAAAGCAAATCATGCTTCTGATATTCAGTAATTACAATACTGTACTGTCTTATGCCACTCTGCAGTTACTATATAAAGGCCTAAAATTTGACAAAATATTCTAAAAAGTAGGACAATTTATTGATGAAGAGGTATGAAGCAAAAGTACCACACAGAAAAGAATTAAACGTCTGTCCTCAACATGAATTATAAGTACTGCACGGTTTGGTATATTGGCCGTTCAATAATATTACGTTCGTCTATTTGAAAAATGTCGGATTTGCGATCAGAGACGGAAACGGAAACATCGAACCTACCAGTTGACGTTTGAACTTCAGAGAGAATCTACGAGCGTGAGACGGCGCGAGTCGCAGGAGAAACTTAGTTTGATCTTCTGGATGGACAGCCACCAAACGCCTCCCTTCCTCGGATGACAACTTGACGTGGGGAAAGTACCGTTAGCTCGAGTCAGGATGTCTGTAAGGTATCGCGGTTATTCCCTGTGTGATACCAGGTGATCAATTAGCACACTGCTGCCTCTGGCAGGACGTCGCTTTCTTTTTACTCGCGAGTCCAATATTTTTTTTGCACATCTGAGCATCTTACTGCGCTGTCACGTGAGCGACCCCCCCCCCATCACACACCCATCCCCCCCCCCCCTTCTAAAGCAAGCGTATGCGTGAAGCGGCCGTTTCCGGAACATGCTCTGTTAACGTACATAGATTCGTTGCATGGTGCAGTGTGCCGCAGAAATATACGCTTAGGGATTCAGCCTATACACGTGTTCTGCCTGCGAGAACCATGCTGTGGGCCTAAGTAGGAATTATTGTACGAACAGTGGTTTTGGTAATTGACGTGTTTATTGGTGATGTTGGCGCGAGGATCAATTTCCCGTAAAAACGATTTACTGTACGAGACCTAAATTCGCCAAGGCACCAAAAAAAGCTTAAACAAGGGGTTGGGATACAAATCTTCAATATTCGTAATTATAAAGATTGTCAGGGCTCTCCCGATCTAACTACAGCAAGTATAGTGATTTGGGGATTCATTTTTGGTGTGTTTAACCTGTCTTCTTGACTTCAGGAGCGGCTCAACTGGGGGGGGGGGGGGGGGGGGGGGGGGGCGCAGGGGGCACTCCTCCCCCCCCCTCAGATTTACCCAAGTGCCCCTCTCGCGGACATAAATGTGCCCCGCCTCGAGCATAAATGTACCCCCTCGAGATGAAAACAAAACTGGACCTAAAATTTCGGATAATTTGTTTTCAGTAACCATTTCCCAGAATGGTATAGAGAGTTCTGATATGAACGATGAATATGAAAACCAAGCCCCAAACCCTTTCAATGCGGTCTGAAAATGGGCATATATAATGCGTAGTTTGCATAATGGCCGGTTTTGAAGAGCGCCCCTATTTTGGAAGATGGTACCAGCCCCTCCCCCCCCCCCCCCCACCCCCACTATTTGAATTTACGGAGGCCAAGTGTCCGGTGAAATAAACGTGTCGACATTTCAGCACGGATGTGCCAAAAAAAAATACTGAGCAAGTGCCCCTTTTGGGTGATCCCCCTCCCCCCCCCCCCTCTCCCCAAGTTTGAAAACCGTTCCGCCGCCGCTGCTTGACTTTGGTTTACCTTAACCTGAAATATGACCTAATTTTTAATTGTGTATTTGGCGACGAAGCAGAGACAACAATGATCAAGTTACTAGCTCGCTCTTGCTTCTTTCTGATTAATTTTGTTATGATAGCTATGAATCAATGAATACCTAATGATGCGAAAATATTTAGAGCGAGACTGATATGCCTCGCGGCCAAACAGATGATGCTACCGGCCATTTTCCTTTTAGTACACCGGTTTCGACTTGATGCATAATAAGGCAAACAGGATGATTTGCTTTTCATGCATTCCCCCGGTTTGTTCGTTTCAAATAGCAGCACATTCGAAATAATGTACAAAACTTAACTGTTAAAGTGTCAGCTCAGTGGGTATTAAACATTTCGAGAAAACAGTGAAAAACCATGCACAACCTTTTGATCACGAAAAACACGATTTCGTCGATAGCACACTTTCCAAAAAAATCAGTCAGTTGACAGATCGTTGAAAATCACCTCTCAGTACGTTTCTTGATTTCTTCTAAATGACAGCAAGCCGGACGGAATAATTTCACGCGGTGTTTGATACCAATGTGATCTTTAATCCAAGGTTTTTGATAATGATTCGGTGTAGTTTACTTTTGGGAGAAATGCAAATGATCCCTTGCCTTTAACTAAACCTAGTAAATGAACTATTGCAGTTGGCCAAACTACGGCTTTTGTACGCCACAATCATCCGGGTTGGTGTATCAAAGGAGGCCAGCCTTTCTTCGGATGTGTAGATACCGTTTGACCGAAGTATTAGTGGTTTGCGTAAACGTAATTCAATTGAGGGAGACTCGTTTCACGATATCTAAGATCAGTGTCTTTGGGCGTCCAATGTCACAAAACGTGTCAAGATGTCAACAGCTGACAAGAAAATAATTTATCTGTCCGGGGAAATTTTTGAAATTGCACTGTGAAGTAACAATTTATAGCCGAACTTGTCGCCCTATTTACGGGTGAATGGATGCCGATGTGAGGACGGTATATTGGCTGTCGGTAAATCAAACATAAAAGGTTTATCGGATCACCGTGGGGAATATCGGATCAGCGTGGGGAAGTTCTCAGTGCCTCCTAGGAATAATTTTAAAATCGCCCGAAATAATTTCATTCTGCAATTTCGACAGTTGCTCATTTTGCCTTCGAAAATTTGGGAGCACTTTAGCGTAGTGCTCCACATGCATAAATTAAACATATCTATATTCCCTCAGGGGAGAGCGACAATTTGTTTTCATATGCCGTTTCCTGATTGGTGAATAATTCAGAGAGACAGCGCTCTTGACCGGCGAGGACCAATTAAGATTCCTGATAGGAAACAAGCTGCGTCCTGCCAAAGCCTCAATGTTATGAAAGCGCCACCTCAACTGTTGAATTCAAGAGAGTCGGTGGTAGGAAGAAAAACGCTTGGAGTGGCCATTTCCTCAACAGAACGGTCTTAAATTACAAATCCACAAGGAAGGTCGTGGGATGAACTAAGCTTAGATGACAGAGCGTCCACAATATTCATAGGGGTCTATTTTTTTTTGACAGGTCATTAATTTAACACTCTACAAAACATGCAGTCTTAAAAATTGAGCTATAGCTGTGTGGCTATCGCGGGTACACAGGACACCAAGCGCTAATGATGAAGACTGGGGGCGGCATTAGCTGATATAAAGCGGGCGACACACTGAGGCGATAATGTACGCGGTTCGGTGTCGTAATGGCGAAAGCGGCTGTTTAAAAAAAGTGTTAAAAAAAATCAAGACTTCGCATTTAATGTTTTAAGGCTAAAAAGTTCTCGTCAAATTGTCATCAAGAAGTTCGATTAATGCTGGCAATTTATCGTAACCTTAAACATCGTCACATGGGCGACCGCTCACTCAGCACTGGCTAGCTATAGCTTAAATGCGGAACTTGTTATTATCGATAACTATGGTCTGCGATTGGTAACTTTTCGATATACAAAGTCAGTGTTAAACTTTACTTTTTAACCCGCAGAAAAAAAACGTATAAAAACGCATCAAGAAAAAACAGCTACAGTGTCAGATATACTCAACCAGGGTTTTTCAACGTTTCCTTTGTAAATGTAGGAAACTATCTGGATTTTCTGTTACCAAGACCTTCGAAATATGTTAAGTAAATAGTCAAAATCACGAAAAATATGTCAGTTTATGTGAGGAAAGAGTACAGGGAGGATTCCATTTTCCTTCTTTTGGTGTGCTCCCCCCCCTTCCTCCGCAAAGAAACCCCGCCCCATTTTTTTTTCTCACGGATGAAGCGGTGAATCTTCCCCACAATTCAAACGTAATTACTAAAGCTTTGTTACAACGGAACTCACACACTGATCTACCTACTACTTTATTCACAGGTTATTTCTCTAGAGGCCAATAAATATGAAGTATAGGATGTAATGATGAACCTTCATTTCCGTTTGGTCAAATCGTTACCCCCTTCCATGCATTAAGTAGTTGTTCTTTCATCCCAGTTTTGTTTTCCTTTCATTTGCAGTATTGTGCTGCCCTCGATGGCTTCTCCTTGTGAATAAATAAATGGTGAGTTAAATTTATTTGTACAAATTGGAAGTTCTCAAAAGACCGGCCACTTAATAAAAATACACATAGGTGCTTATTTTATCGAGCTGGGGCAGAGAGGTTTTTCTTTGCTAAAGCAGACATCCAGCCAAAAACCATGCGATGTACAGAGCGATTACAAGAAAAAGTGGACCCCCCCAACCCCCCCCCCCAAAAAAAAATATTAAACAAATAATGTAGCACAAAAAACTGCTTTTATTTGAAAAAATACTGAAATTGATCAATCCGTTCAAAGAATATACCCATTTAAACGCAATGACCCTAAAACCTGTTTCGTCCCTCCCCCCCCCCCCCCCCCCCAAAAAAAAAACACACACACACACAAAGAAAATGACACAGAATACTTGTTTCAACAACTGTCAACAACTGTAGTACACAATATCTTTATTCACAACCCTGCTTATACTCAGGCAAACAATTTGATTTATAAAATCAACTTTAAAACAAAAAAAGACGGGCCTTCAAAAGGACTTTGTTTGATATTTCTAATTATTAAACTGAGGTTTTTATCGCTGGTGATGTTTGAAGACTATTGTGGCGATGATTCTTGAAATCGCATTTTGGACGGAAGAAGTTTTTGGGTCATTGTGTTTAAATGGTGATACTTTGAATGGATTGAGCAATTTCAGTATTTTTTTAATCTTAAAGTAGTTTATGAAATTGGCTTTCCAATTGGGTGCTACATATTTTTTTTTAAATATGAAACATATTGTTTGTGGTTTGGGTTCCGCTTTTTCTTTTACTCACCCTTGTATTAAAGTAATGTTGCGTATGGCGTTCTCGTTTTTGGCTTTGATGATCCTCAAAGTCTGCGGGGCATTATAGTTTTTAATTATTCACGTTAGCAGCTCAAGGAATTTGAACAGGTGTTAATTGTAGGTCATCATGAGTGACATAATGACTCTCAGATGTTGTGTAATGAAGTATATCTTGATTGTATTACACCGATTTCTACTAGTGCCCCTTAAGATATATAGGATCATTTGCTTTTCATGCATTTTGTTTGTTTTCAATACTCAAATTCCAAAGAAGAATGTTCAAAATTTAATCCGTCGTAGTTTTAGATCAGTGGGTATTATACAATTTTCGCAAGAATGAGTGAAAAACCGCAGTGCACAACCTTTTGATCACGAAACACGATTCGTCAATAGCATACATTTTGTTGTTTCAAATAACAACACCACTCGAAATCCAAAGTAGAATGTTCAAAATGTAGCCCGTTGAAGTTTCAGCTCAGTGGGTATCAACATATAATTTTCGGGAAAACTGTGAAAAACCATGCACAACATTTTGATCACAAACACGATGTCAATAAGTTGCCTGATTGCTG